GGAGCAAGAGGAGGAGGAGAACAGAGCTACGAAAACCGCCAGACGCTCGATCGGACGGAGAAACGTCTGTCTTCTCGAGACGTTGTGCCATCTGAACAAAAATCAACGTGCGCACTTCCTACGAAACGCAGACGATAAATTTGTGCGCTGTATTCGCGAGTGCGTTTACAATACACTCAGGGGTAACGTACCGCTCGAACAGCGCGAAAAAAAGCGTCTGAACAAATACAAAACGACGCTACGTCGCATCGCGGCCGGGCGCGGTAATTGGAAGGAAAAGAGAAAGCTCTTGGTGCAGCGAGGCGGATTCTTACCCTACATTATCGGACCCATACTGGCGGCTTTGCTATCGCATATTATCGGCGGTGGGACGGGATATTAAAATCGAGTCATGGGGGAAAGAGCGAGAAAGATGGTTTTAATTTCTACGGAGAATCTCGAGAGAATGCAGCAACAATTGCAACAACGACAACCGTTGATTACCACCTCCAGCAGCAGCAGCAGCAGCAGCAGCAACAGCGTCGACAGGATGCCGGGGAAAAATTCGGACGAAAGCACTAATAACTCCGTGCGTACCCCCGGAACCCCCCTATCCCGACTCGATGCGGAGATGCGGCGCATTCTTAACTCGTCCTATCCGCTCGACGCGGGCGAGAAATGGAAAATGTATAAAGAGGTACTCTGGCGATATCTCCACTTTGTCCATACGGCGCGAAAACGAAATCACGATGACACTCGCAACGGCGAGGAGCAAGAAACCGCGGAAAATATGGACAATGATACGCTAGAAGCGAGGGAGGAGGAGGAGGAGGAGGAGGAAGAGGCAGCGTGGGATACGGACGAGACGTCCCACGTCGATCTCACGCCGATCTCGTCCATTAGGCCTTCGGACTCTAGCGGCGGTATCGCAGTGGCGAGAAACGATGCGCGCGATCTCGAGCTGACGAAGAGCGCCGCGAGAATAGTGGAAAGCGTACCGAAATCTTATCGCGCCCACGCGCGTCTGCTGATGAGGCATCTGCTCGATAAAGCCGTGCCGGCCAGAATGAGCTGGGACGAGCGCGGAGTCGTGACTATAGACGGCGACGTCGTAAAAAATTCGAATATCGCGGACCTGATAAACGACGCGATGCGCGAGAGAAAAACCGTGAAAGCAGCGGGGAGAGATCGGTTCGCGCGATTACTACGCATCTTAAACACCCCCGCGATACTGGTGAAAAATAAGGAATTATTAGCCCGCGGTTCTCCAAATATTAGGCAACGTCGCGCCGCTGCGAGCTCCACTCCGAATACAACCTCCTCGACGACGGTGACAAAAAGACGTTTACTCGATTGGCGTAAATTGAACTAAAAAATGACGGACCTTGAAAAATTCTACTACGATCCGCGACATTACGCGGGCTATTCGGCAACTGATAATCTGTATCGCGCCGCTAAACCAAAATTCTCCCGTAACGGGGTCGCACGATGGCTCGAATCGCAAGACGCGTACACACTGCATCGCCCATTGCGCCGGAAATTTCCACGCTTGCATTACAACGTAACGAATATCGACGACCTGTGGGAGGTCGATTTGATCGAACTCCGAAATCTCAAAAGTTACAACGACGGCTATTCGTATTTACTGGTAATTATCGACGTGCTCAGTAAATACGCCTGGGTGGAGCCGTTACGCGATAAAACGAGTAAAGGCGTAACGGAGGCCCTTCAACGCGTGCTCTCGAGAAACGAAGGACGCGTGCCGGTCTACCTGCAAACGGACAAAGGCAAGGAATTTATCGGGCAGGCTTTGCAAAGGTTTCTGGAGGAAAAGGGCATTCGTTTTCGAGTAGTCCGCAATCCAGATGTCAAAGCCGCCGTCGTCGAACGGTTTAACAGAACGTTGAAAGAACGAATGTGGCGTTATTTCACGCATAAAAATACGCGACGTTACCGCGATGTTCTGCAGGCTATCGTAAGCGCTTACAATCACACCCGTCATTCCTCCACCAGAATGCAGCCGGCGATCGTTACGCGCGAAAACGCCCGTATCGCGCGTGAAAATATAAGCCGACGATGGCGACGGAATGACGAGAAGAAGAAGAAGAAGAAACAAATGGTTAAATACCGCGTCGGCGAACTCGTTCGGATCAGTAGAGCAAAAGCCGCTTTCGAGAAAGGCTACGAGTCCCGTTGGAGCGAAGAGATATTCCGAATTCATCGCATTCTCGAGTGGCGAAAACCGCCTGTGTTAACGGGCGAGACCATAGATGGTATTTTTTACGAGCAAGAATTAGGCAGAGTCGAGAAAAACCTGAGCGAGGAAGAGTTCATCGTCGATCGCGTGATAGAGAGCAGGGGACGCGGCGCTAATAAACTGCTGCTCGTTAGTTGGCGTGGCTATCCCAGCAAGTTCAATTCTTGGATCCCCGCCTCAAATTTAACATCTCTTCAAGATGAGGGAAGATCAATTTCTCCTGGTCCTTCCGAGCAATAGCAGCATGCGTTATTTCCCGAACAATACAACCGCGTCATTCACTACGGAATTACCGCAAACTCTACACTTGCACGGCGAATGGGAAGTCGCGCTCAGCGAGATTCAATTTCCCGCTACTTTTTTGCACATAAATCACGGCGAAAATATCATCAGTTTCGTCGATATTAAAAAAGATCGAGCGCTAAAGAAGGACGC